ATAAACCCCGTGGGGTGGCGCTTGTTACAAAGAATACCACCTTGGTAGGTCCTGCCTGGCGTAAAAGGCCCTTAAAAGGACAACCGCTTTACGGGTTAGCACCTCGGATAGTGAGACAAAGGCGCTATAAAGACTCGTCAAAATGGCTACGCGGGCGTGGAGGAGGCTCAGGCTGACTCCGTTCGGAACCGCCCTCATGCCTAGCCTGTTGCAGGACCCAGCAGGAGTGGTGCTGCTGACCTGCAAACGGCAAACACCGACGCAATGAACAGGAACCAGAAAACATCACCCAGAAGAGATGCTTTGGAAGGTCAAAGACACCCAATTACTCTACAGGGCTGGATATTAATGAATTTATATATCGCAGCTATCTTGTCATAACTAGAATGCAGACGAACACTAAAGGGTACAGCAAAGAACTACACGCACAAGTAACTAGACAATTCCTGGAACTACGACAGAAAACCATACAAAATATCCTTGATCGAAAACGAGTAATTCTCTCCACAAATAAAATGCCCCCAAAGAAATGAAACCCTAACCATTAATAAACAAAGTGAAGAACTCACAAAAGAAGAACAACGCCTACAAAACTGCTTCGAAGAAACATACATGAAATACTAAGGAACCGCGCTAAACCTAAGACCAAAGCTTCCGAAACTTGAAACAAAAATTACACAAAAACTAATGCAATTATCAAGAAAATAAGCAACTTTATTGTAAATAAAATAAAAGACAACGATGGCATAACAATAATCCATAACCAATATATATATTTATTGTCAAAAGAACAGCAGAAAGACAACAAACTCACCAAACTCAAGAAGAAAAAGCGACACCACCATGGGAACGGCGAATCAATAAACAGATGAATTACGGGCTAAAATAGGCAGATCGATAAAATCAGGTGATCCAAACGGAAGTACAAAACTAAAAAACAAAGCACAACAAATAATATTGGAACACCAAAACGAAGAAAATAAAAATATAAGTGAAATCATAGACCTACTCCGACAGAAACTTGCAGCCAAGTTAAAAAGATTGAGAAGGCTTAAAGATATCAGCGCAGACAACAAAAAAAACAATTCAAATAAGACCAATGACGATTTTACAGAGAATTAAGTCGACAAACAAGCAACATAGAACGAAATGAGGAGACAAATAAAGAGGAAACGAAAACCTACTGGAGCAATATATGGTCACAGGAAAAAGAACACAAACAAACTGCAAAATGGGTCAAGGATGAAAAGAAAAAAACGCACAATGGAAGACAGATGAACAATCATAACATAACAACTGAAGAAGTACGGGAAGCCATCAGAAAAACACACAACTTTAAATAACCAGGAAAAGACGGGGTACATAACTTTTGGTGGGAACGGTTCATAGGAACACATAACAAAATAGCAGAACTTTCCTCTGGAATTCTACAAGGACGAACTCAAATACCAGACTTCATGACCGAAGGCATAACACACCTGCTCCCCAAAACAACACCTTCAATTGCACACCCAGATAAATACAGACCAATCACATGTCTCTCGACTATATACAAAATATTAACGTCAATCATTATAGATAAAATATATGCCCATTTAATACAAAACAACCTATTAGGAATGGAACAGAAAGGCTGCAGGAGAAAAACCAAAGGCTACAAAGAACAATTAATCGTAGACACCATAATAACGCAACACAAAAAGAAAGAAAAGAAACCACTATACACTACGTATGTGGATTATAAAAAAGCCTTCGACAGTGTCCCACATTCATGGCTAATAGAAGTTTTGGATATCTACAAAATCGATCCATACATTCAAAACACCCTAAAACAAACAATGAAAAAATGGAAAACAACATTAAGCTAAAATAAGAAGAAGACGAAATTCACAATAGACAACATAGAAATCAAACGCGGAATCTTTCAGGGCGATGCACTCAGCGCATTATGGTTCTGCATGGCAATAAACCCCCTCTCGCACATGCTTAATAAAACAATGGTACAACAATAGAAAATATTAAAATTAGTCACCTCCTCTATATGGATGATCTTAAAATATAAGCGGATAATAAAGAAAACATTGAAAAATTAATACAAACTACAAGAACCTTTAGCGATGACATTCATATGGAATTTGGGTTAGACAAGTGCCGAATAAATTCGATGGAAAGGGGAAAATGGAAGGGGCATGAAGGATATGACATGGGTGCAGACGAAGGACAGATAGTTGGCAGGGAAATCGAAGAACTGTATAAATATTTAGGATATCAACAATCTAGAGCAATAGATTAGAAAAACAGCAAAGAAATACTGAAAAGGAAATTCAGAGAAAGACTACGTTCAGTTCTTAAAACGAGACTAAACGCCAAAAACAACAAAAGCAATAAACACATATGCCATATCCATCCTGACGTACAGTTTTGGAGTGATTGCATGGACAAGTTCGTACCAAGAGCACTAAATTCCGTAAACATTACCCGCGCAGCTCAGTTGAGAGAGTAAACATCCCACGTGAAAAAGGAGGCCAAGGTATCGTGCACATACCGACACACCACCAAAAACAAATCAGTGCTCTCAAAAAATACTTCAACGACAACACAAACAGCCAAATATACAAAACTCTAAGGAAAATTTATAGAAAATTGACACCACTAAACCTAGCACAAGGCACCAGAGATGAAGCTGGTGAAGACAACCTCGAAGAGAAGTGGAAACCAAAGGAACTCCATGTCCGCTATCCGGCATCACTGATGCAACCGCATATCAACAAAAACGCGTCCCTAAATTGGCTAAAACAAGGATACTTGTTCTCCGAAACCGAAGCATTTGTAATAGCAATACAAGACCAGGTCATTGCAACAGGAAATTATAAAAAATATATAATGAAGCAAAATATTCCAACAGACAAATGTAGAACGTGCGGAGGACAAACTGAATCGATCGACCGCATACACCAAAAGACATGACAATATCGGCAAAGTAATACACCAAGAACTCTTGAAACTACACGACACAGAAACGAAGAAGACAATACCGTACTACAAATACAATCCAGAAAGTGTAGTTGAAACGGAAAACTACAAAATGTACTGGAACAGAGAAATAATAACCGATCTACCTCTGCAACATAATAGACTAGACATGGTGTTTACCGAAAAAAAAAACAAACATACTTATCTGATTGACTTCTCCGTTCCACTCGCAACAAACCTACAAAAAAAGCACGACGAGAAAATTAGTAAGTACTTACCTGTTGCCAATGAAATAAAAGATATGTGGAACCAAGAAAGAGTCATTGTAGTACCAATTATTATAGGTGCAACCGGAGAAATACCACATACATTGATCGATATGCCACCAACTACAAAAAACTAAAACCAGCGGAATTCTCAGACGCGTACTTAACGACCCCCACAACTAAACATCTAAACATATTCATAATAACCTAAAACTTACCCACCTGTCTTCTTGCAGCCAATGCCGAAACAGGGAAGGAGCCACATCCAGCGATGACTGAGGAATCCATTAAATAATAATAATAATAATAATAATAATATTAATAATAATAATAACAATAAGTTGTCAGCACGAGTTTACGTACACGCACACAATATAAAATTCAGAAGGCATGTAGTTATACTGGAATTTTTCTGTAAAAATGTGTTTAATAAGTTTTTTTAAATTCATTCGGGGAACAGTTGTTTTCGAGAGTTGCTGGTATTTTGTTACAAAATTTAATAGGAACTAAGTTAATGGACGAATTAGTTTTGTGCCCATGGCGATAAGGAACACGTCATTTTTATGTCTGGTATCATACATGTGAAATTCAGAATTCTTAATTTTTTACACTGATAGATGAAAATTGAAGGGAGAGTTACTATTTTCATTTTTTTTTTAATGGTGGCGTACAGTGATCCTAACTTTGTGCGCAGCACAATGTTTGAACAATCTTTTTTAATTTTTAAAAAATCTATCTGTCTCGGAAGAGTCTCGCCACAACCCTATGTTATGAGATATCACGTAAATGAAGTTACTAAAATAAAACGCTAAAGCCGTTTCGTGCCAGTTAAGTCTACTATTTATAAACACACCCAAAAGTTTAGCATTGTGAGAGCTAACGTCAGATGCACCTGAAAAAAGATACCCTCCGACATCAGTTCATTCAATTTAAGACGATTCGAACGAAACCACGCTTCTGCAATCGCCTGAATACTACGTCACTTGAGGTTCTACCCAAATTAAGTATTGTGTTGTTGTTAATAAATATTAGGAAAAGAATTTAATCCAGTATACAAGCGAAATAAATTGTGGTTCAGAAACAGCATCGTTAGGTAACTTAACGATTTGTTTTCTGTTGTTAAAGTAAGATTTTAAAAAGTTCAAACTTGACCCCTTGTACCATAAAATTCAAGTTTGTTTACAAGAAAGTCATGGCTAACGCAAGCCTTCGAAAGATCTAACATGGTCATATAGGAAATAAACTTACCATCAATAGCTTCCAGAACCTTTTCCAGAATGGCTATAATTGCTTTCAATGTACCTAAGCGTACCCAGAATGACTCTCCACAAAAACTGTATTTTCATCAAAATACGATAAAATTCTTTCTTTTACGAAGACTTTGGAAAATACGGGCAGTACAGCAATAGAACTAAATTTGTCTGTAGTCGCCATTACAAATTCCTGACTATGGCAATTTGTGGTATTATTATGTAGGTCTTAGGCCCAAATTTTGTTTTAATTGAAGTGTCCGAATTTAGAAGGTTTTTTTGTGTAGAATGTGAGTATGCTTTATCCCCATATAGGATAAGCCTGTCACAGTGATACAAATATATAACTAAAGAAACCGACTTCCCATAAATGTAAAAAGAAGTTTCTCCATTTTGGCTTTTTTCCATATTTCGTTTAAGATCATTTAGGTGTCTTTGTTTATATTTGTAGTATGGTTTTTGGGAGGAGTGCTTAAAGGTAAATACATAAAAATATCGATCGCTACACGTATTTGCTACAGATTTAATTACAATTAAGACAAGAGAAAATTGTAAAATAAAAAGCAATTCTTAAAATTAAAGACAATTATAAACATGTTTTCATAAATTTTATACACTTTACAGTTTAGAAGGCTACACTCTTTCGACATCCAACCAGACATCTCCCTTCACTGATGTAATAAACGAACCCGTTTCGTACCTCAGAGGATGCTCCGTCTTACTGTTCAAAGTGAGACGAAAATTCCTGATTATCGTGGCCACGCCCACCTTACTTTGAAGCATTCCGAATCGTAAACCTAAAACATCACAGGATAATTCTTGGTTTAGTTCCTTATTTACAGGGCCGTATCTTCTGAACGGGCATCTTTTAGACACACGGATTTTAGCCTAACTGAAGATGAAGATATTAATAAAAGTTTGCATGAGTTAAATTTATAGCAGGAGAAAGAATCCATGCAAATTCAAGATCTTTTTAGATTCGGTTTTTCATGTATCTCTGATAGTAAAATTTTCTCTTGATGCATATGGCCCTAACCAATTGGAGTGAAATGAGAAGGAAGATAAGAAAAGAAAACAACTTGCAATTTGCTAGATTATGTGCTGTTGAATAGGAGAAAGTACTACATTGTCTTTTAACCAATATTAGTTCCATTTTATTCCGACGATTTGAAGCACCAAATTTTTCCACATTATCAGACATAAAAACGCAAATCTCTTGTACTAGGTGCGATATGAAGTCGAAATAGCGCACGAGCTTTGTTAAAATAGCAGATATCAGAAAATAATTAAATTTAAAGTCCCCCAATATCTCTATAAAAAATATGTTTCTAGTCCATGTCGAATTTACTTACCACACTGAAATATAAAAATTAGCAAATAAAAAAAAGTTGTGTCCCTAATAACCAGATACAAAATATCAACAACTTCAACATATTTTTATGAAAAAGTCTTTACTCCCTGTGTAGGAAAAAAAGCTATGCAACGTGTAATTTGTGAAGACTCTCTTTTCTCTTTTCTTCTTCTTTTATTTTATGTTGTCCTGTTCATCTTGTTTTAAAAATTGAAATTAGTTTTAGGTATAAGGGACTGGAGAAGTTTAACTCAGAAGTACTCAACCGCGACCCAACAACTATTCTATATAAAAAAAAGGATAAATGAGAAAATTAGAAAGGCAACTGCACTTGGTCAATTGGAACTCAAAAGCCCTAAGAACGAAAACGATTAGTGGAGCTCAGATATAGAGGCTAGTCACCGAGAAGAAAAGAGAATCAATGGTTCATGTCGTCGACATGAAATGTTGCATTGAATTAAGAAAAGCTGTAAATCAAGCCAAAAACTAAACTTGGAAGCGCAGATGTTAGCGAATTCACCAGTTTGTAGATCAGAGTAGCTGCAACTTGTGGTTCGCATAAACCAATGAAGAAAATACCACAAAGAGAAGAGTTTTTAGCAATAAACCAGTAACAACAGGCGACCATCAGCATCCACATAGAACTGTTCAAAGAGTTATTTAATTGTTTTTCGAACGAAGAGAAACTTCCAGAAGAGTGGAGGACCGCATATATTTCCAATCGGTCTCTAGGCTCTACAGTAAAATTATCATATGGAGAGTAGAATGTCAAATTGAAGGCCTGCAAGAACACAGGGGTTTGATAAGAGGAAAATCTTGCGTGTGTGCCTAAAACAACGAAAAGCACAACGTTGTGAACGAACTCAGGGGAATGTTATTTATTGATCTTTAAAAGGCATATGACAGTGTGCCGCTCGTAAAACTATGGCCGGCACTAAGCCAAAATGGAGTTGATTACAGCCAGAATAAAAGTTGGCAATGAGTTTTCTACTGACTTTCATGTATCCAAAGCTGTTCGACAGCATTATTTCAATCTGCTCGTAAAGCATTTGGCCGAAGAATTAGGCGTCATGAATAATGAACAAAAAATAGCACTGAGGAGGAAATTAAAAAGTCAAAGACGTGACATTATTAAACAACCAAATGGAGCTTTCTGAAGTCAACCGTGAAGTATATATAAATGAAACGCAATGGAAATGGGCTACTAGAGGCAATGGTGCAGAATGACTTTGCGAGAGCACCACTACGTCCATCACGAACACAGTTAAAGCTAAAGGCCTAAGATTTTGTGATCACATTCATCGAATTAGAGATGAAAGGTGGTCTAAAGGATGCTAAACAGGGTGCCGCTTCGAAAGAGAAAAAGAGTACAATCGAGGAAGACCTGGAATTGCAACGCAACAAAGAAGCCTATAAGAGAGACAGGAGGAGAGTGTAAAAATTGTCTAAATCCTGGTTCCTATTTACCAATACAATTTCTCGGACCTCCTCCGAACGGTAAGTACGCGTAATGGGGCCTCGTCGCTTTAATTTCTTCTGTAAAACGATCCGGGTCGAACTTTTCTGGATCCGGAAAGTAGTCCGGGTCCCAGTGAAGCCCTGCTATGGGAATATTAACCATTTTGCCTTTTTCGATGACCACGTTTGAATTGGGTACCCTGTACGTTTTCGTACACGTCCTGGGAACTGCCGGAACTGGAGGGAATTTACGCATCGACTCTGAAATAAGAAATCTTAGCGGACATCCGCAGTACAAGGGTGATCCATTACAAATGTTACCCCCTCTAACTTTTACATACATACATATTAGGAAAAAAAATAATGCAAATGTTGTTGAATTGATGGGTAAATTTATAACTAGATACTTATTTTTGCACAGGGTGTTATAGAGTTTATTTGTCGTTGTCTGGATGGTCTGCCATAAATGCCCCTGGTATGGTCTGTTCATAGATATAAGAAAGTGACCAATTGCTTTTGAATGGGATTATCCAAGGGTGGTCATTAACATACAATGCAACAAGATTATTACCTAAAGTTTCGGAATTTCAATTCAGGTAAAATTGTGGACCGTAATAGAAAATAATTTTATACCTGTTTAATGTTCTTTGGTTTGGTATACTACTTAGTTTAAGTTTATTAGTTATCATTCTTCGTGTGTAATACAACGTGTGTTGAATCGTGTTCGAATTATGCAAAATATGTGCGAGTCTAGTGTATGTCAGGAGATGCTCCTGCCCAAATGTAGAAAACACTATTCTATTGAGACTAAGGAAGTTATAAACAATGTTTATTTGACTCTCATTGAACGTGGTGCCAGCAAGCAAGCATCTTTAGAAGAAACGGCCACATTGACGAAAATTCCAACATCAACTATATGTGAATTGTGAATAATCCCATTTCAGAGAGGAAAAAAAAGAAGCGATGCTGACATTTTCTCGAGTGTAGATGAAAGTGATCGAAATATAATTTAAATTAAAATTTACCAGTTATACGAGGACCAAAACGTGCCTCAATTAAATATCTTAAGGAGGCTTGAAAAAGATGAAGCCGGCGTTAAATGTGGCAGAACTACCCTATGGAAGTGTATTCAACACATAGGTTTTAGATTTAAAAAAAATTGACGAAAGGCAAGTTTTAATCCTATTAGATCGTAGACATCATGTTAAATACGAGGGATTTAGCTCTTTAGTATTTCATCCCACGTAGGGGGTGGCACCATAAGGGTCAAATTCTTTTTGTCATCTTTATCGATGATCTAATTGGTAAGTTAAATTGTAATGAATTAGTATATGAATGAAGATTGGCTGTTGCCTCAGGATCACTTTAATGTTATCTCAGACTGGTGTCTGGTTAATCGATTAGATTATTTCACATTATTTCTTTAAAATTTCTGTATGGGCTTTTGCATAATACGGCGAACTCTGAGTGTCTATTGAGCAAATTAAAAATATACGATTCCTGAATTGAAGGTTTAATCCTACATTTTATCTCCCTACGCCTAGGACAAATGATTTAAATCAATTGCCAATTTCGTTTATGCGTGGTAACTGCAGTATTGTTTCAATCATATGTGATATTAATGCGGATGCAATTCGTGACATTGTTGCCTGTTTTTTGGTTCATACGCAGAGCTTGTAACTGCCGAGAGTACCTGTTCGAGTAATTGGGTTCCTTGTATTTTGTACTAGACTTCCCATTATTTCTCTTTTTATATATTTTCTGTAATTACTTGTAAATAAATTTGCTTATTAAAATTATAATACTTCCGGAAATAAATGTCGGTAACCCCTGGATTGCACCAGGCTTCATTAAAAAGGGATGTATCAAGGCTATTAAACGTGTTATGAGTGAGATGATAGGAAGTAGTTTTTTTTGTCGGTATATCAGAAAAAAGTCCTGAAAGCTTATTAAACCTGGAGCGTCCTTCACCATTTTCCTTTTGGAGATACCGTAAAAAGCACCTAATAAAAAAGATATTAATTTTTCTCAGTTTTGAAATAGAGTTCATTAATATAAGAAAACTTTTCCAAAAAATTGAACACATCAAAATCCTGCTACTTTTGTGGTAAACTTTTTCTTCTACAATGCAAAAGAAAACGCTAATATTTAGTTACCATAGATGACGTTTTCCAAGTACGTCATCTCTTGAACGGCCTCGTAAGTTATTTCTCCGTCGTGTTTTCGTAGAACCCTATTTATTTCCTGTCTGAGTTTGTCTTGGACGACTTGATTCCGGGAAAGCTCGTACAAAGCAAACGTCATCGCCGTAGAAGAGGTCTCGAAACCGGCAAGAAAGAACACGAAACATTGGGCAGCGATTTGATTGAGGGTAAGAGAACCATCGACGCCGGTTTGTTCGAACACTCCGTCGTCATTCTTCAGTTGTCCGTGGTTCTTGAGCTGCAGTAGCATGTCCAGGAAATCCCTGCGTGCGATGTTGTTCTTTTCCCGGTACTCGATCGTGGACGTTATCATCCTGGTGAAAAATTGTGCCACCTCCTGGTTCGTTACGTAAATTCCCAAAGCATTTATGACCGATTTCGGGACGAATCTAAAACAAAATATGGACCAAAATTGTTTTCCTCTGACGTCTATACCTCGCGGGGCAAATAATTTAAATATATATACCCTGTGTCCAGGGTAAGGATGTCTAGGATGGGGTAAATGGCAATACAGCTTGTTGGAAGTATCAAATGCTTATCAGGTATGTCACTTTTTATAATCCGTTTTCATTTATTTAGTAAATTAGGTACCACTAAAACCTCTTTGCTCTGGTGTTAATTGTTTATTTTAGTTGAATTTCGCAAACATTTTTTACTGTACTGAATACATACGTTTTGCGGACCTAGTCTACCAGTCTAAAGTTCGGTTCACAAAATTGATGTAATTGTATTGTGCATATACCCTGTATAAAGTGCTTTCAAGTCTGGTCGAAGTTCGAAGTTAAGACACTTTGTTACAAATTAAAATTTGTACAAATAATAGCGTTGTCTAATGATATTTTTTCAAATATCTCGCGCGCCCTGTAAAATTGACCAAATCTGAAACTCTCTCTCAACACAGTTTACGATACCGTTCAAATCAAATTATCGCATCTTTAGCAGTTTTTCATTTATCCCCAATAATTTACACACAAAAACGGAAATTTTTAGGATGTTTTAGATTTTTTTGCCCATAAACGACACACCCTTTATTTAAATCAAACAATTTTCGAAATAGAGGTTATAGCCTTGGATCTCCCGTGTTTCCTGGTATATAGAGTAAATGGTTTTCAAGAAAGTACTTGTTTTCTGAGACCATGCAGTACGTGGTAATGGCAAATGAACTCAACGCATCTAGATTGAGGACGAGAAATGGTGATTTTCATTTGGATTTTTTCAAATATCGCGAACAGCGTAAATGATAGATGGTAATCGTAAATACAAAAATTGTAGCATTCAATGTGGCCTATAACACTTCTTAAACCAATTGAGCATACTTTTTATGAATATTTATTTACGGCTAATAATTTAATAGCGAAAAGAACGATTTTCAAGGTCTTTTAGATATTTGTCTATAACTGAAAAACCCTGTATATAATGGCAAAAATGCCTGAAATAAAAGTTATAGTACCGGATCTTCCGCATTTCTCGGTTCACAAATTTTGCCGATCTGGTTAATAGTTTTTGAGATTTTTTTTTTCTGAAAGTGAAAATATACCAAAAAAAATTAAAATATATATATTTTGTGAGATTTTAGTTAGTCCTTTTTCAGCAGATGAAATGCGGGTGTGGACTTCTACCCTATTGCCAAATCTGAAGTCGATAGCTGGAAATTTAAGACAACTGTGAATTTTTGAATATTGCACTTAATATCTTGAACACACAACAAGTAAAAACTTTAATTACAGAAGTTTTAACTGTTTACGCGCTGTAAATCTAACTGACTTCGGAAGTTATATCCAATTTTAAATAATAGGGGGGTCCATTTTTCAGTTTTTTGAATTTGCGGCGCACCCGGTACATTTTTGAAAAATTTTCAAGAATAAAATTTTATGGCGCCGAATCTTCTGCGTCTTCATGTTCAAGAATTTTTTCGACCGCGTAAATCGTTTTCGAGAAATTAATTTTTTCTTAAACCCTTACAAATACAGTTTTTAATGTTTAAAAAATACTGCTCGACCCCCCAGCCCCCCCAATTTCAACAGTTTCCGGCACGCAACCAACCTTAATATGTGTGCCAAATTTAAAGTCGATATCTTCAAATTTCTGACACTTATCGTGTTTCATAGCAAATTCCAAAAAACGGTAGAAAAAAAAAGATGGCCGCCCATGTCCGATATCCGCCGTCTTCAATATCTTATGTCTCTAGTGGACTGTCAAAAAGCAATAAAATTTGAAGCGTCTAGCTCAAACCGTTGGGAAGTTATCGTCGAAAAATCCTGGAACAGAGAACGGAGAAAAAATAAAAACTTTTTTTTTTCGACGCTATGTTTAGTTAGGAGTTTAGTGGGGAGCGCGTATACTATCGAAAAGAATCCATTTAATCGATTTATCGAAAGTAACAAGCAGTTCAATAAGATTGATGCGAAACTAGGTCAAATTTCTGACTCGTGCAAACCACTTAAAAGTGAAGTTCCGAACAATTCTAAATCAATTGAGAAGTCAGAACTTGAGTGTGGCTTACTTGACCAGTCACTTCGGAAAAATGCTCTTCGCCTCATAGGTATTCCGGAATAACACAACGAAACTCTAACTCTTAAAACTGCTTCGTTCGTTAATGACAGTTTAAAAATACCTTGTCACTTTCAAGACAACCAGGCTTTTCGTGTTGGCGAGTCTAGTGAAAATGTATATCGCTCTATAATAGTGAATTTGTGTATAATGTCAAGCGTGATGAAGTATCATGAACTAATCATACGATATATGAAGATCTCAAGCAGGTCTTTCTGAAATTTGGTTAAGAGCGGAGGAGTATCGATAAATGGTTTTGATCTTGTTCGAAGAGATCGAACAGGTAGGGCGGGGGCGTTCCCTTTTATATTATGCCTTACAAGGTTTTGGATACGGACGATAGAGATAGTAATAATTCAGAACAGTTGTGGGTAAGTATAAATCACGCTGGTAAGAGAATTCGTCTTGGTTCCCTTTATAGATCGATAAATTTGTATCACAGTCTGGATGTACTTGGTGTGATGCTGCTATACTGCCCGGATTTAATTATGTTGTATTAGGCGGTGACTTTAGTAGTTTCTTCTACGTCTAACATAGTGTCTGACTCCAAAGTTTTAGATAGGAAAACAAATCGAAAAAGACCATTTTACAAAACAGGGATTTCCCACATTTTGCCCATAGGATTTTTCTATTCGACCTGCACTTTACAAACTGAGACTGTACCTGTTTTTTTCCTGCACCTGTTAGCACCTGTAAAATAAGTAAACTGGCTTACTGAAAATTTCAAATTAAGATGAAGCTGAGAAATGAAGCTTTGATCAAGTTCAAAGTGCAAAGTAAGAAAAGAAAATCTGAAATATTTAAATGTATGCCGTGCTTCAACTTAATAATAATTGTCATAATATATATATATATATATATATATATATATATATATATATATATATATATATATATATATATATATATATATATATATATATATATATATATATATAACTATTTTGGCACTTAAAACGTAGACATAAAAAATAAATAAAATCATCCTCGCTGCGAAAGTGGTTGTGCAAGCCCACGTCGGAACCGCAAAGTCTATTGCCTGACCGTCCTCGCAAATCAATCTGACCCTTCCTCGCTGCTTCGCTGGCTTCCGTGATATTCACGACATGGTTTCACATTTTGCTAATTAAAAACAAAAACTATCCATCAGATTGGGGTTTTTAAAAAAATAACGGATTCGTGAGACCTTCAATGCATATCGTTTATAGGAAACACTTTTTTGACAAACCAATTAGTTTTCAAGTTACAGCGAGGTAAAAGATAACATAAAAATGAGATTTCAGAGCAAGCTTTTATTCATTAGATACTCCCATATAAAAGCATTATGCGGTGTTTTAAAAATGAAAAAATAAAGTATTTCAATTCCAAAAATATTGAAAAGCGGTTTTGTCAATTTAAGAGCAGTAGGGTGTAGATGACAAAAAGTAATAATTTCTTGACAATTTTTAGAAAATTCACCCCCACCACCCCCTGCACCGCACGATTTTTATACGACCAATTGATGATGCATTCTTAGTGTACAAGAAATGATAAAATGTGATTAGTACATTTTAGCAAGAAAGTGCAAAAGAAAATCCAGAACTGCAGAACTATTGACTAAGACTAACATAAGGTATCCCAACATCTTACACTATATTTACAGTCTGCGACCTTATTTTTCATAATTACAAAAAACTATATTCCAAAGTATTTCCAGCAAAGACTGCATTTTAGCATAGATGTACATCAAACCGTTGTTTTCGGGCTATATTATAACACTATTTTAAACTATTCAAAAATAGTTCATAAATTTCCGGCTAAAATGCTACAATCAAAAAATGAATTTATTTAAAAAAAAATTATTTAATTAAATAAAAAGAGCAGTAATATATTTAAACTCTAGTATAAATTAAGAACTGAAAATGAACCAACACAAATAAACAATGTCTGAAAATCACCTTTATCAGCATTTACCTATTTAATTGATCTCGCGAAATTTACGATATTTCAGGCTTCTTACTTTTTATTTTATATTTTCCTTTTAATTCATTTACTTTATTGAAGTTAATGTGCCTAAGCAGCTTTTGTGTATAAATAAACTTGTCAAGGCGAACAAGCGGAAGAAAATTTTTCCAAATTATATTTGTTTATTTTGTATAATAAAAGTCTTTTATTATTATTAAAGACAGAAAAATAATTAAACTGCCAATATTCAAATTGTGTTTAACCAAAACCAGAGAAGGCACTAATTTAGTACTCCATTCATTTTTAAGGGAAGTCACAAAATTTCGTTCGTTCCCGCAAATACGCCGCAAATACGGTCGAAATAAATCCTTTTCAGTATATTGTGCGCCTAAAATAACGGCCTTGAAATACGCAAAAAATGCTACGTTGCCATTTTACTACCTCGTAGGAAGCCATAAAGTACTACAACTAAACATACTGTGAAGTCCTAACGGATGGTTTACCGTAGAGATTCAAAGGGAAGTCAATACATGCGACAGACATACCAAGATTACATTGCGAATTGCGATGCGAGCGCCAACGATCTACGCCTGAACTAAAATTGATAATGTCCGGATAAATGGTCGACCTTGGGACTTCATTAGAAAATTTTGCAGGAACGTTGCTAAGGCCCTCAAGGTCATACTGGCAAAGTTTTACATCGGAAACGTTGTGACTTCCGAAATCGGAAGTCTCCAGGTTGTAGATGAAGTCACATCGTTAATTGAGTATGTATTTTGGAAGTTGTAGAGTACGTTTATCAATATATATATATATATATATATATATAATATATATATATATATATATATATATATATATATATATATATATATATATATACATATATATATATATATATATATATATATATATATATATATATATATATATATATATATATATATATATATATATATATATATATATATATATATATATATATATATATATATATATATATATATATATATATATATATACATATATATGTTATTTTTGGATCGGATAGAGCTTGCCAATCTCGCTAATTTCAAAATAAAACCCAATGAGAATGATGTCAGTCTTATTAAAGTCGGTAAAAATTAAGGGTTCAGCATTAAGCTATTAAGCCATGTTTGTACATAAAGATGTGGTAGATTAGATTGAACTAGTTTGAGATTTGCATACAATTTACGAAAATATGATCATATAAGCAGATACAAAATGTTCCAAAATCTATGAGAGGTTTATTTATAACTCGTGCAAATATGCATGAAAGGCGACCTAGCCATTGCGAGCTACTCAGAATTCTTAAACTTCGCACCACTTGTTTCAACTTGGTCCCTAAACTTTTTTATAAGCTCCCAGTTGATGTGAGAGGTGCTTTAACCATTTCCGCTTTCATTAAAAGATTAACTAACTTTTATTTATCTCAGACTGCTTAGCATATCCGGTTTACTTTACAGACATCTACATGGATATACATTTTTGTTCAGTTGTTCATTTTTTTTCAAAACACCGCCACCATTGATAATTATTCTTGTGACTCTCAGCTAAATAAAAATAAAAAACCAGTTAAGTTAAGGGAGTTTATTAAAAATTAACGAAATAGTAAAATAAAAAATTAAATAAAAATTAAAATTTCAATTCTGTGGGTATTATGTATATTTAGAAATTATATGTCTTTTATTCTTTTGCTCATTAAAAGAGAGAGATAGGTACTACGAAAAGTGCCCAAGAATAAATTATGATGGACGTCTGGGACAACTTTTCTTGAAATCCAATTATTCACTATTCAAATAAACCAATAAAATATAAAAGAACTTTTCTTGAAATCCAGGTATTCACTATTCAAATAAACCAATAAAATATAAAGGAACTATTCGTATTATTTTAAGTTTACCTACGCCCGTGGATAGCTGCAGAGAGATTGCTGCTACAGTATACATTTTGATGTGCAGATGATTCATCATATTCACTGAGCCTAAGCAATTTTGCATTGCTTCCTTTTGAATATAGTGGATAAATTTCCATTCCAGAGACAGAAAAATCTGTGGACTGCACAAATAACAATAACAATAATCACCATTCAATTTTTACGGAACTCGTCAATTAAAAAGGTTTGCACAAACACTCGCCTTTTTTAATTAAATTGAATACGAAAAACAAGTTAACAACAACGGAGAAAAAATATAGTCATGCTGGCGACTTTCTCGAAGCGCTGTCTAGAAAATGTGTACCCACAAGTTCCACAGCCTGCAGAAGTTTCTTTGAAGAAAAGGTAAACAAATATGTCTCTCTAATATATTATACAATTTAGAGCCCAACTTTTTATATTGTGTCACTCACCTGGTCATCGTAATCTTCGCGTTCTGCCAGAAGTTTCTGTCGAACACTTTTTTCCCGTAGACCCTGAACTCCGAGCTGGGATCTTTCATGGAATTACATTCTATGCCAAATGCGCAATTTCCAATTATGTCGGTGGTGAATCTCGCTAGTACGTCCTTAATATCAACGCTCTCCTTATTCCTAGCGTATCCCTCGATCATCCCCTTAAGTCCGGATGTGCAGTATACGAAGGTCTGGAACATCATCTTCATTTTTCCAGAGGTGAATGTTGGCGTCAACCTGTGCCGCATCGACTTCCACTTGGCCCCCTTGAGGTTGACCAAGTGAGCGGTGAGAGGCTCCCTTTCCTCGTTGATGTATCCAGCTCGATCTTCGAAGTGATCAAAGCTCGTCTGCATGATGTCCTTGATCAGTTCGGGGTCCATGATAACAAGGGCGCGCGCTGTGAATGTGTAGATTCCGCCGTATCTGACTCGTTTGGCTTTAAATATGGAATAAATTCGCAAGAAGAACTCGTATATCGACTCATTGCAAAGGAAGGTCTCTCTAGCGTTGCCAAATATTGGATGGATTGGATGTATTTCTGTCACACCATGGCGCCTCCAATAAGTGTGGGAACGTCTGACGTAATAAATTATGAGGCCTACCAGGAGGATTAGAAGAGCCGGAACAAACATGGCAGGTTATGACTAGATCTGAAAAATATAATGTTGTTAGCAAAAAACGTTTCGTTCTAGTCTTAAAATGCAAGAAACGGAGGCAATTTGACAAAACTGTGGTTGCCCATTTCTATTGCGGATATATGTGCTTCCTACGAGTAATGGGTAATACTATCAAAGCTTTCTTGTGATAAACACCTTAAAAGGCCATTTAGATAAATGAACTTTGTTAACCAATTAGTCTGGTATTGTTTGTTTCGTAATGTCTTCCGACATTGAATATATAATTCGCAATTTACTGGCTTCAAACTTGAACAATATTTTTGTAAAAAATAGAGATATCCTCTACCATCGAGTTAATCTCTAAATTCCAGCTTTTTCTTAACAAGTTTAATATTTGTTTATTTTGTTTGATTCAATTCAATTCAAGATGCTTGAAAAAACTGAAATAAAATAAAAACACGGGAGATATTAATAATAATAATAATAATACCAATAAAAAACATAATAATAATAATAATAACACAACAACAGAACGAATATAAATTACTAAACTAATTAAAGGTTAAAAGCAAAACCCAAGCCGCACTTTCTTCATGTAACAATATATACTTGATTGTGCTTTTTGACGTGAAGGCAAAAGAAATGTCTATGTTTATTAAAAAAAATCCATGCTATAGGTAAATCGCCGCTCGTAAAGAGCAGTTCTGTGTTGTGACACACTAATATTTACATTCGCTAAACCATTTCTTTAAAATGAGGAAGGATAGAAGTCTTTAAGGCCTTATACAGGATGTCCAAATAGTTTATCAAAGTAAAATATATCACCTTTATTATCAGTTTTAGAGAAAAATGTTAACTACAAAAGTTATAGACGAGACTAAAAGAAAAAATTTAAAATTATTTTTAAATAATCGGGGTTATTAATAAATATGTGGGAAACCAAATTTATACTTTTCAAACGGAATATATATTGTAGGGTTATTATAGTCTATACCGACTGTTTTCGCATTTATGGCTATGTTTTCGTCAAAAATGATTTGTGTTTAACATTCACCTATACTTTTAACCCCTTCCTACAGCTGCAATTTTATTATGCCAACAATTTTAAACAGCAGTGCAGACACTTGTGCTATACTTTTCTTGAAGTTAGTTAGTTAATATAATACAAATTCAGCTGTCGGAAATGGCTTCAAAAGTATAGAGTATTAGGCGCATGGCATTTTTGACTAGAAAATAGCGATAGATCCGAAATAACTAAGCATAAACCGTAACAATCCTACATTGGGTTGGGGTCATACAAATAAAAATATGTAACTTCGGTGTTCCACATATTTATCAATCACGCTGTATATTTGAAAATATTTTTAAATTGTTTGTCCTAGTCTTATCTTTTAGTGTTTGTATTTAACATTTTTTGCTAAATTTTGTCATACTATTTGGACACAATATATTAACCCTGAACTATGAACATATGTTTAACAATTCTAGGCAATATGACAACGCGTATATAACAACAACTTGACAAATCACATTTTCCTAGGTAAACGACTTTTAAATAGAAATTATTTTCATGAGGTCATTTCCTCAGATAACATTTGTCTAGGCAAAAGCCATTTGGACAAAACTATCATTTGATAGTAAATATATTGCTTTATTTTGAAAACGCATATCAGTAATCTACTTTGAAAAACAGTGGCGCTATCGTAATTTGTTTACAAGAAAAATTAAAATATTTGAAAAATTATTATCTCTAGGTATGTGTAATTATTAATAAGAAATTTGAAAAATTTCAAAACGATTTTAAACCAATACTTCAAAATAGGGCGATCCATTTAAAAAAATCTATGTTTTATTCGTCACCATTTAAGCCATCCTGTATACTTTAAAATAATTTTAAATTGTGCGTCCGAAAAATGAAACCAATAAGATAATGAACTTTATAATTGATTCAGCCTGTACAAGAACATTTTCCTGACAAAGACAAGACCATTGCGGCACACACACGTATTTGTAGCGTTTGCTTTTCGATTTCATAGCCTCCTTTAACAGCTCGCATGTTGTTTTGCACAACTGTGCGTTGATAAAAATTTTATGGTTTTAGGTTATAAACGCCACACATTGTTGTGTCCAAACGACCCTTTGCTTTTCTGAGGAGCGGCATTTCTGTAGCCATTTCTTCTCGATATGGCTAATAGCAGTCTTAGGCCTGATAATTACATGTTTATAGAGACTATGATTCTCCTGTTTCATCCGGTCCATCATCTATCTTTATTCTTCCGTTTTTGGGACTCATGCATACAATTGGAGAAATCGAAAGGTTTTTTTATAGATAAAAATTCCTGTTTTAGGCTTGCTATTTCAGTCTTCAGAACAAGTATTAATAGATTCATCATTATCACCACTGGCGATACCAAAAAAGGTTACGAATTGCAATGAAATACAGGATAACTCGAAGTGTTGCTTTCATTTTTTACCAGTTGTTTTAGAAATTTTGGAACTAATTGAACACAATATTGAATAGCCCAAGCGTAGTCTCGTAAATTTTTGTGCAAAATGGCCTTTAAGAAATAAAACGAGAAACGAAATTTGATAAAAATCCATTAACAAGACGAAAGAAATTGCATCACAACGTAAGTTAGATAATTTCAATTCAAAAAGTTATGAATAATTCGACGTTGCCAGTTGTAGTTGTAGCGTCATCCATATTTTTCATCCAAATGATCAATTATCAATTATCAATTTTGGTACCTACTAATAAAATACTAATAATTCACTAAGTTGAGGGCGTTTTATTTTTATAAAGGCACAATATGTGAGATTTTTCACGCGGAAGGAAAAACGGAATTACGGATGCAAAAAATAAAGATGAGGCAGATATATTTAAGGAGTTATTGATTTCAGTGACGTTACAGGGTTGAGGTGGGATAATTGATTTTTTTCTTTGTGCTGATGATATTTAGATTTTTTATACACTTTGCATATATTCGTAAAATTTCCGAGACTTTTGTATTGTTTACAATTTTTATATTTATATATTTATAATTTATTTATATATATTTTATTTTATCGACGGTTTATTTGGTTTTGAAAAGGGCCAAAAGCATGAGAATTACATTCTTTAGATCTCTAAATGTACAGGGTCGCCGGTTTCATAGGGGCCTTATATCTTATCTAGAAATGTGAGTTTTATAAAAAAAGGTTTGAATATGAAAATAAATTGATTTTTAATTTTTGTTGAATTATTTCAATTGTCACTCAATTACACACAGGAAGGTCAAATAAAGTTACATTTTCATAGTCGTGGAATGGTACCTGTGATCATAGTTGCTACCTTAGTGTTAAAAATTAAAATTCTGGTTTTGTATGACCGGCAGTTGTTGGCAAGGTTCGTTCTTGTTTATGGCTAGTAGTCCTAAATTTGTAGTAAAAAATTGACATCAGTAATTGGGTTACATTCAACGAGTTACTGAAGATTGTCAATTAAAAATCACGTATAAGGGTTTGACTAAAACTTGAGACAGGTGTCAGTGTACTGAGAAAGTTAACTATTGAGAAATTGTCTTTTGATAAAATCTCCTGAACAGAATGGGATTTTTATAGGCACGTGAATGAATATCCTTCATTTTAAATGACCTATTGCTTTAAATAAAAAGCAATTTCAGAGAGATATTCTGGAAAAAGAACATACGGGAGATTGTAAATTTGGATATGGATACGAACGGTAATAGGTATTTCATTAAATCCCAAGTAAAATGCTTTGTTGCAAGATATTATATGACTTTTGGTACCATGCATTTCCAAAACATCTTGCAAGAGGAAATAAAGACCATGATGTATGAAATATTAAGTAAGTGCGTTGAAAATGTAATTAAAATCAGAGAAAGAATGGGGGAAGCGGGGACCACAAAACAAAACTACTGTAGAGCCCTTTATAACTTCTCTGGACTCGAAAGACTATAGTTATACTGGGACTAGCATTTAAATATAAAGCGTATTTTCCTATTATTCTTACTGTTATGTAAGTTTTTATTTACTTGATGCAGAATCTAGAATATTTAATATCTCAATTATCGGTCCAAGTCTGTAATAAAGATCCTACATAATTACTATTATATTTATTATTTTAGTAAACTCCCTGCAGTAGCACAGCTGCCACTTTAGTTTCGTTCATCTAAAACTCGCCTTTCTTCTGTGTGTTAATTAGTGTAGCCCTTGTTGGCATTCCTGTTTAGAAGCGATCCCTGAGATTGCTTTGATATTGCTCTTCTCCACCCCCCCCCCCTCTCTCTCTTTCACTCGTTCTAATTTTTAAATGAGCAGTATTGCCAAAAAATGAAAAAATGTTGGCTCTTACTTATAGGTTTTATTAAGTTTCTATAAAAAGAAGGAAAATGGCAAAGTTAATAAGTTATTTCATTTATTCAGTCGGTTCAGTATGAACCCTATAACTTTAGTATTTACGATTTCTTGATATAACCGATAATAAATTCAACAAGTGGTTGTCAGAATATAATTTTTCTAATCCCGTCTCTAAAATACCTAATTACCCACCGATCTAGCGTACGGAAAGCGTCACTTTACCATGTCAGTTTCGTTTCCCACGAATCCGAGCCGCTTCGGACATTTCCGGAATTTTACCGCACGGGTTTGGCGGCAATCGGATGTTTTCGGAGATATTTCCCACGCTTTGAATTTTGACGTTTGTCAATTCTGACAGTCATGTCAGTGAATGCATTCGTGTTTTGCGAAAATGTATGCAAAAACTAACGGTCGTAGAAAAAGTATAGTATGCAACAAGTTCCGTAAACTTTTAACTCACTCAAATGCCGTTTACAACACTTGTTATGCATATAGTTATGTAAATGTTAATTGTAGCACAGAAAAGACAAATGTTTCAGGATATGTTATTTTTAATGAAATGTCAATAATATAAACCTTATTAAATTTTAAATCTGTTTGTCACATGGTATAGAAAAAAAGTAGTTAAGAGCGTTGTTTTTTTTTTATGATTTTAATTTTTATTGTAGTTGCATCTCATACGGCCGACTTTCGTGTTCTCATGGCTGTTATTTTTAAAGAAATACTATAATACTAATAATAATGGCGCAACTTTATTTTCTTCCAGTTTGTGTAAAAATCGCATAATATTGACAAATTTGCCTCAGTTTTGTGTTTTGGCTTTTCTTTTGTATGCTTATTAATATGTTAATAATTTAGGAATCATATAAGGTGTGGAACTTTAAAATAAGTAGTTTATCGGAGACTATCATTGCAATTTATCAAGATCGAGGTAGTGAAAAAAGAAAAAATGTATTCCCTTGCCCACGGGTTTTATTATAACTCCTATAAAATGATGGCAAATGCTAATAATAATAATATTAATAATGAGTATTATTATTATTATTAATATTATTATTATTATTATCAAATAAAAAAGTTTACAATAACAAGTACAAGTAAAAGGTTATGTAAAAAAAACTGTTTATAGTGTATAAAGATTTTTGCAGTAGATACTGCTTTAATCTTATTTTAATAGTTTCTAAACAGTGACCTTTTATTTCATCAGGAACACCAATGAAGACTTGCAGGCCCAGTATACAGGGTAATCTAGACGAAATTTTATACTTGGAAAAAGATATATGAATTTTGTTTTGGTGTCTTGTGTTAAAAGAATGAATAGCTTCATTTTGAGTGAGGTGGCTTTTATTTTTGGATTCATATATACTGCACTCAAATGTAAACAAACTCGGTAAGGTCAGTGTATCGTATTTATTAAATAAACTTCTAAAAGAATGCGAGCAATACAACGAATCGCTCTTTTCTGTGCTAAAAACACTTCTGTCGATTGCGTAGACCAACCCCCTGGTATTATTTCAATTCAATGTGAGAATAATATATTTTGAATAATCGTGACTCCGTCAGTACATTCCTCAGCATGGAAATATTCCAGTTCAACCGAGAAATCAAGAACACGCAGTGATTTTCGTAGTTAAGATTCTCATCGATCTTAATACCTAAAAATTTAACACTCTTAGACTGAGCTGCTGGACAATCATCTACTCTGGAAATGAAACTAGAATATATAACTCACGTTGGTGGAATTTTAAAAATCTTATCTAGATTTAAAAACAAACTATTACTGTTAAACCAGTTATTTACATTGCTCAACATATCGTTGTATCTATTCTGCAATAAAATATGGCAATTTTCTGAAGCGACAATGAAAGTGCTATCAGCATATAGGGTGCATCATCACTGATGTGGAGTGTAAATAGGACAGGACTCAAAAACGATCCCTGTGGAACACCTATCTCAATACCAACTATAGAGGAGGAGCTTATCGGGTTAAGAACTATATCTGCAATCCTATACGAATGCAATTTCTCCAAAAAAATGCAAAAATTTCAGGAAATTTTATCCTTAATAGAACGACCAAAAAAGTTTTTTTTCGCACTTCAGTTTTTTTTTTTGCAATGGAGACCTAATTAAGTGTTATCTTTATTAAATAGAGAATTTTATTACCTTTCTAACGATATAGCACGCGATAGAATTGGTTTGAAGCATAAAAAAATATAATTTTCTAATAATAATTTTATAACCATTAATTTTAAACAAATGGCGAGCGGTCTTACCAGCATTTGATAATGAGGTTTTAAATCGTAGATAGCTGATATTTCAATCACAATTATTCCTATAATAATACTTACCAGTAACAATATGACGAACTCTAATGGCGGCGCCTGATTTAAAATTAAGTTATATACACAACATTGCGCTGGGTCGGATCTTAATGATAGAGATGAGATAATGCACGTTTCTCAGTAGGACAAATAGATAAGTGAATCAGATATGGACTGGCCTCTTCATCGTACATGCGTAAATACGTATTTCGTTCGAGTATTTTGTTGTAGCGCTATCAATATAATGAGACTTTGAATCAAATTTTTCACTCAAAATTTTCGTTGCTTAATGTTCATTACAAATCTTCTGCATTCAGCCGTGTGCTAAAGGTATTATGGAAGGGATTCCGGTGAACTGGTAAAAAACACTCTATCGTGTCATTAAATAGGAGAAAATGTATGATCTGGACTTTTTCAGCCACTAGACGGTTGACACTTTAACTGTAATCAACATCATATTGCCCGTTTTCAAAATGGACTAGAAAATCAATCGGAATTACAGTAACCTGTGTAAGTTCCTTTGAAAAAACTTGACTGTACTAGTTTGACAGATTCTTAAAGAACACAAGGCGTCAGTCAAGGCCCATTGGAAGGATTTAAAAGGATTAAAAAGTCACCCAAAAATTTTAACATTCGAAACTAAAATGAACAGCAGTTTATCAAAAACCCGATTACAAAATACTTGGAAATTCTTATTGACGGAAGAAGAAAGAAGAAGAAGAAGAAGAAGAAATCACTTGACCATAACAATTACAACTTGTTGGGATTGTCTAAGTAACATTTACAATCATCCTTGGAATTGATTACTTCGGCTCTGGAAGTGAATCACCTGATAATGCTATAATTATTCACATTTGGCTGTTTCAATGAACGAATACCCTGCTCGTTGTCTCGTAGGTATCAGTTCCAAATCTCCGATTAATAATTTTTCGAAAATAACCTGGGTGTTTGAATTATGCCAACAAAATCAAAGCGCAATCAGAATAATCGCATTGTCTAGTTAAGATCAAAACAAATACTGCTGTTTAACTGTGTACATTTCGCCTAGCGCTCCGCATTGTTACGTCGCTTTAAACAGTTGTGGCACGAACTATCAGAACCGTAACACAAAAATTTCACCAAGCATTAATTGTTTTACAAAAATAAGCCATGATATCCTGTTTTAATGTGACAAGGTGTTTATAATTTTTTTGTTGCTATTTTTTGTTTGAATAACGACCTAAATAAATAATATTACACGTCTTATGTTTTACATTTAACTTTTATTTTTATCGCGCCCCATAAATATTAAGAATTACTGGAGTAAACATAACATTGATGAAATCATACAGTTATTTTTAAGCTAATAACATTTTTATACAGGGTTATTTACGGTGAGTTTTCTGTTAGACGTCTATGGATAATGACTTACGGTAAATGCCTGAACTGTTGGTTACCTATGTAAGTAAATATGAGCTATCTATGTAAAATATTTTTGGCCATACGATGTTAGCAGATATATTGGTAACCTATATGAACTTTCTTTTTTAAACACCCTGTATATTATTACATTTTTAGACTCTACGAAACATTTTGGAACTTTTTTATGTATCATTCCCATCTTGTACTCACATTTTATCTAGGTAGCAGGCTCTGGCCGGCCATGGTGGCGTTTTTTGTTATCAAATTTGTGTTCGACATAATCACGTTTCATCTGGGTAGCAGACTCCAACTGGCAATGATGACGTTTCTTGTACAAAAATATAATATAAATATAAAATATAATATATATAAGTTGCATTTAAGATGGGGCAAGCAAGATGGTACATAATTCAAGAACGTGCAGAAGGTTTATTGAACAATATCCGCATTTGTCACCAGTGCATTAGAAAAAGTTTAAAAGAATTGAAGCAAATTTTCGAAATCTACGAAGAAAGGAACGTCCAAAACCTGTTACCAACTCAGAACAAAATGAAACCAACGTTTTATCATATTTTCACGCTTTCCACATGCGTCCATTGCGAACGCTAAAGATGATTTTAGCATATTTTATTCGTCCATTCAAGAGATACTGAAGAAACATAATATGGCAATAGCGCCCTTAACGAAATCTGGTCCCATTTAATGCTAGACTGTACCTACATAAAGTCAGTAGTTTTAAAGCAGGGTGTGGGATTCTTGTTCTTATAATATTGACTACCTATCAGTTTCCATTATTATACATTGGTCCATACAAAAAGCCGTATTTCTTATCTTGGAATATGGCTTCATCGCAAAAGCAAAAACCTTGCTCCAGGCAAGCTTGAAATAAGGAAGCAATGACAGATGCTATTCTTGTCACTAAAGAGAATAGAATGGGAGGTATCTAAAAGCTGCCAGATCCTTTAGCGTTCTAAAAACGACACTCACATGTTTATCTAAAAAAATAGAATTACCTCTAGGGCTAATTACAAATATTAATTCAATATAAAATTTAGAAGCAGAGTTGGTAAATTACATCCTTACCCTGGAGCAAACTCGGTTTGGTTTGAGCAGACGCAACATTAAGTCAATTGCTTGCTTATCAAGTGACAGTACGTAACAATTAAAGTAACCTGTTTTCAAGACGAAGTAATTCTACAGGCAAAATGTGGTTGAAACTGTTTCTGACTTGCAATCGCCATCCAACAGCAATAAATAAATGGAAGAGTTTAAATATCCTGCCACAATTTAGATATCGGTTTTGTTTTATCTCTAAAGGGGAAAAGCAAATAGCTGCAGTCACTTCAGTGGAACGAGTTTCAACAATAACGTGAATAATTTAAAGGAATGCAGCCGGAAAGCGAGATCATCCACTTCTAATGAATGGTGCTCCAGCTGGATCAATGCACGCTTGTCATCCCTCAGGTTGGATACAGACAGAGCTTTTCACTAAATGGTTTAACCACTTGGAAAATGTCAAACCTTCCGCTGCTTTTCTCGTGCTTCTGATATTAGATGTGTATACAAGTCAGACAAGTAATATCGAAGTACCTTACGGAGAAGACGTTTATCAGACCAATCACTCATTATGAAATAGCAAGTATTTTTGATCTTGCCTATTAGGCAGTGTTCGGAACTGGCTATCCGTGACTTTTCAACAACCTAGATTTATCCGCTTAATCCATGTGTTTTTTATGATAGTGGTTTCATTGAAACAACCCTAAACGATAAGCCAGATAACGATCATTCCACACAAGATAACGGAAATGCTACAGTAGTACCAACTAAAAATGAGACAAATCAAGAAGTTCAATCGTTCATTCTAAATCTGCTTCCAGATCATTAAGCTGCTCCCGCTCTTATTATTCCAGAAAATATTAGTCCAACGCGTCAACAGGGAAGCAAATTATAACATCTATCCATACACACTGGAATTAGGAAAATACTTTAAGGCGAAAAAAGAAATATATCCCAAGACAAGAGAGTAAAAGAAATTTTCATCTGACCAAAACTAGCTGGCAGAAAAATTATAAGTAAAGACTTGCAAATAAAGATTCTAGTGATTTTTTGCTCAAAGATAGCTTACATGAAGATCCTTATCTTAGATGACAAGAAAATGCAGCGTGTGTTTCATTTATTGTTATCACACTGGTTTTTATTGAAACAGTATGTCGTAAGAATCATTTTTGGTTTTATTAAATTCTAGGTTAGTATTATGATACTTTCTTTAAAATTTTAAATGTTTTAATGTTTTTCAGAAACTTAGCTTTTATATATTTCGGGATGTGTGCCTGACTAACCCTAGGACGTTTTTTCTTTAATTTTATTTTGAAAAATCCTTACAGTGGCCATGTTTAGAGGATCTGCTTCACTGACGTAATTGCAATACCCAAATTTTTGTGTGTTTTGTTGCAAATGCAGCGGCAGTTTAATTATCAACTACTTGTCATTAACATCGAGTAACTAAATTTGTTGCATTACATTTGGTTTTTATTTATGCTATTTTAGAAGTTCTGCTATCATTTCGTAAGGTTTTTTGCTTGGTTTAATATGTTTTAGAACTGCTGTTGACAATACTTTCACCGTCAGTGTCATTGTGGTCTCAAGTGAAGTTTCGCCAAAATTTCATCTGGCATCTTCAGATGCTGTGCGGTTGCATTTCAGTTCTCCCTTTTTGTGTTGTTTTATGTCCATTTTAAATTTTCTAAAATGCCCCTACTGACTGCTAGCGAAGCTATTCATTTCTTACAAAATAATCTCTAACAAATCCAATATTAAATCCATTACTAATTAAAACACATGCAGGATCACAACCTGTCATTTTTCTTATTTGTAAGTATTTTAGACTTTATGATCAGATATGCTAACTTTCTTCTTCTTACAAAATGATCAATTTGAATTTTTCGCGAATCTTCAATTATCTTTTGGTTAGAAACTCCTGCGATTAATTTTTCAAATTGTCTCTTGTTCAGCTTTTGATAATCTCTTGGTTCTAGTGTACCCTACACGAGTTTAAAAAAAAATGTAAGTTTTTTAAGAGACATTTTCGGTACGGAAGGTAGTACTCTAGTCTGAAAAACACTAGTTTGCACATGCAGAATTCAAAAAAATGATAAAAGCAATGTTGTCAGATTAACCACCTCTACCTTACAAGTCATAATTTTATTTTAAATGGAATGCTCTATTTATTTTTGCGCATGTCGATTTTAGTTGACTATAATGGCAAACAATTTTATCATAAATTTAACTTTGTCATAAAGTCAAATATTTATGGCATACTCTCATACACGGAGTAAAGTCCTTGCACCTTTACATTGTTGCCATAGAAGAGAACACGTTCATATTTAATAACAGCTTCTATTAAGTTTACAAATGATACAGGTTGACATAACAGTGCTTATACTCTAACAATATCCAACCACAAAGGATGATTGAGCCATGTAACAATGGAAACCGGTCCGAATTCCAAAGGATCGGGGGTCTTTTTGTTCAGCGTGAGCCGGAAATCCTTCAGGATCGTGCAATCATGCAATCCGACCTTGGTCTCCACCAGTAAAAAAGCATCCATGAAAAAATATGATGATATCGGGTATTGGGTAAGCCGATACTGTTATACTCGAAGTCGCTAATCATAGTTAAGGCATTTGGTGTTGGTTAAGGCTAACAAAA